CTTCCTTTCACACTATAAGTATCGGTGTGCAAATAGTCAAATAATTCATGCTTAAATTTTTTGTTAGGCAAGCTGTATAGTACTAAGTTGATGTATCTAATATCAAAGTTACGTTGTTTAAAGCATCATTTTGTAGTTCCATGGTCATAATTATAATGAAAATTCTATTTCAGCATGAAAGCTTCATTGGGTGTTTGGTTCCTAGATATTCCCGTTGTTTACACACAAAATTGTCTACAGAATTTTCCACAACTTTCCCCCCAAAAATGTCACATTGGCAGCATCAAACCAGTTGGATGAAAAAGTCATACAGAAGATGTTGAATTTCCAACACTTATGGCCAACTTTTTGTTACAGATCGATGTTTATCTCTGTCACAGCAATTAATGCACTTTCGGGTGATGACTACTTTATTTTTGACACCCGTAGATGTAAATGCAAGTTTTTTATTAATTTTTGCAACCAGTTACCAATAATAAATTCCATTATGTAAAACAGATTTAAAGTTTGGCAGAAGGGCTTGCATGATCAACTCAGATATTTTGTCTTTCCCTTTTATATAAATACAGTATCTCATATGTTTGGTCTAGTATTTAGAAATTAACAAAATCTGCTTTTAGAACAATTTTATGAACAACTCTTTTCAGAGAGCATATAAGTAATTAATGTTAAATTTCAACAAAATGCCATTTATTCATAGAGTGTGTAGAATAGTCTTGGTTGAATTCCATTAAAGATTTGGCGGTCCTGAGATACCCAACGTGAGACCATTTGTCCACACACTCAGAGGGAAACATGCACTCATTTGATAAAATAAATAATTTTTTGTTATCTTGAGAAAAAGTTTTATGATAAATTGATTGTTTTGGATGGTACATGTACATTTACATTCAGTTTCTAAAAGTTGGTTTCTAGAAGAGTATGATGTAAAATTCCTACGGATAATTACACATAACCGTAGAGTAAGTTTTCAAGTGAAAAAAAAAAAACAGACATTAAATTATCAAATAGAAGATGATGGGTCGTTCAATACATAATGCAGTACCAAATGATATTATAAAACCTGTTTTTGCATTTTATTATATTTTTTTTTTCTTTTTTAGAAAAATTATGTCTAATTGTTTAACTATATGTAAAATTTAGAAGAAGAAAAGTTTGGGGAGCTTTACAGTGTTTTATCTATTATTTCGTCTTCTTTTAGATTTGAAAATATAAATGTTTTCCTCATATTTTTCAGACTTACATAGGGTTAAGAACTTTTTAGCCCACCTGAGCCGAAAATGAGCTTTTCTAATCAAAATCTGTCAGTTGTTGTCGTTAATTTTTCACATTTTTATCTTCTTTTAAAGAAAGAATGGGCCAATTCCAACCAAACTTGCCGCAAAGTATCACGCCATCTTTTAAAAGGGAGATAAAAATGAATAAAGGAGAAATTAATGGTATCTTTTAAAAATATTTGTTGAACCAGGGGACCAGGAATAGAGTGAGGACTTTGGGTCAGATACATGAATTAATTCATTCAATGTGGCATTCACTCTTGTGGGTTCCAATATTTGAGATTACAGTCATGACCCCACGCAGCAGTAAACTGTGGAGTCTATCACTATCATAGCAATGCTGCTGGAATACATAGGAGAAATCTTTTCTTAATAATCTTCTCAAGATCCACTAGGGCAGGATAGATTTGAAACTGTAAAGCATTGTTTCTGGTACATGAGAATCATTGTTTTCACAATCAAATGTGATTAAGTTGGCGTAGTTGTTTCCTATTCATTTATCACCTAACGATTATAATATATAATGTTTGTTTGTTTCAAACATGTACAAAGCTCTGATTGATTATAATAAATTGAAAAAAAATTTTCCCAGTGTACATTATTTTTCAAACATGAATATTTGGAAGTATTCTGTTTAGCTGTCGTTTCATTCTACTAGATAACTATGGGTGATAAAAATACAAAACTTTTAGAAATTTCTTTTGAAGAACTGCTAGGGCAGAAAAGGTGATACTTTTAGAAATATATTAAGATAAATTGATTTTTTTTTTATTACAGAGGGAAGGATAACTCTTTAATTTATAATTTAATTCAAAAAGTATTGAAATAAGGCTTGAAATTGAATTTTTTTCATGCAACAATTTTTATTATATGCCTCTACGTATGATTCAATGCTCTTTAAAGTTTTAACAAACGGTATTTAAGAAGTTGACATTTTTCCTTTATAAAATGAAGTAAAACTTGCATATTTAAAAAAAATCAAATTTCTTTTAATTTAGCCTTAGTTACCAATGTTTATATGCATGATTTGAAATTAGAAGTGATTTACAGTATTTTCTTTGAAAGGAAACACTTCATACACTATGCATTATGAAACAATGGAAGTAAGTAGGAGAAAGTAAAGTCCAAAAAGTTGTAAAATTCATGCAATTTTCTTTAAAAGCCTGGATACCTATGATTTTTATTCCTAAAATGTATTTCTTGATCAATCATCAATTAAAAAATATGCAGTAGGTAGTTCAAATCGCATTTCCTGAAAAATTATTTTTGTAACAGATTTACTAATTTTCCCTATATAATATGATTAAATTTAAAGATGAATTTTAAAGAAACACCGTGGGTAAATCCATTTTAATTTGAGAATTTAGAGACATCTTTGTGAACATTTTCAATTACTCAATGCCTGATTTTCAGAACCTGAGGATCGGATAACCTTAAAATACATAACCCGCGTAAGCGGGTTATGTATATTTTTTTCTGCAATAGATGCGACCGTTCATTCCAGTAACAACAAACAAAGAAAGACATTTTATTGTTTAATATTTTATATCTGTTTAAATTATCATTTTAAGTATGATTAAAAATATTAATTGTTGTGTTAATGATGCGAACGTCTTTGTACGTTTCATTGATGCAACGGCCACTGATCAAGAAATCTGTACAGTTGATATGCCTAATGTAGTTTATGCAGGGATGGACGCAATGGGTTTTCTTAAGAAATAAAGAAGAAAATATTCAGTGCATATAAATATATCATTATGTTTGCTCTCTGGGATATTTTGACCTTCCTCATCTCCTCCCCCTCCCCAATGCACTTATTTTAGAAAAGTAGGTTAAAGCCCTTTTACTGATGAGTACCATTGACAATCTGTTTAAAAAAAGCCTTTATACATTTATTAAGGAGATCTCCCTTATTATGTTTATAGGGGTATTTTTTGTACGGAACGGTTATCTGAAGTTTTAACTCATTTTTTCGCATTGTATATCTGAAAAGGACATGTAATAAATACAAAATGTGAAAAAAAAATTTCAAGGTAGGGGTCATATATTAGGGAGGGGGGTGGGTCCTGTCCACAAGTACCTGTGTCCAGAACTTGTACTTAGTTGTAGAAGTGAACACGCCAGTTGCAAATCTTGTACATTGTGTCGCTGAACTTTTCACTGTATACAGTAACTATCAAACATGGACAGTTCAACCAAATGTATCCTAGACTTTTCATATAAGTAAGAATAATAATATTTCATATACAAGTTTACGCGTTTGCTCCAGTATAGAGTATAGAAAATATGAAAGGTCATGAGGATGAAAACATCAATGTATTATTATATAAATCTGTACTTAGGAAAACAGGTAACATCTAATCAAAGTCTGTAAGCATATCTAATGTTAATTTTAAATTTCTGTTGAAGTTACTCTTATTATTTCTTAAGAGTTGAAAGATTGATTTCATTTCTTTCTTGAAGCCACTCAAGAGTGCTGAATTTGTAATATTTTTATTTTCAAACTTAATGCTGTTTCTTGTTTTCCATATTGACCACTTGTATATATAAATCAAGGTGTTAATACATATTCGAACATTTTTATAAGTCAGGTGTAGGATTTCTGTATTACGTGTTTTATCCCCCTTTGTATTTATAGAGAGTACAGAAGTACTGATGAAGTTAGGACAGGCTTTTTATGACACAGGGAGGGTTGATGAAGGGATGATATTTACCCAGCAGCTAGACCATAGACAAAGACCCCCACTTCCTTATAGCTCACCTGAACAAAGCCAAGATGTACATTCAGGTTAGCTAAAAAGCACATCAAAATCCTTTGGTAGAACATTTTGTTTATCTAAGCATTTATGAATGTGAAATTCTTTTTACGTTGAAAACAAATCTATCTTTATCCAAGGCATTTTGGGTTTGAAAATCTATCTTGAGTGCAAAATCAACCCAAGAATCTAATGCTATAATCAAATCTTTAGTGTTGACCTCTGCAATGACAGTTTTGCTGAGAATAGCTAAGGTATTTTTTATTTTAAAATTTTATTTGTTTTTGCTCTGAAAGCCGAATCAAACTACATGTATTGTAAATCTCATTCTTTACAAGAACTTTGTTTCATGTGCAGGTATAATCACACAAGACCATGACCAATTTTGCTCTTATTGTGAAATCACACATTTCTGTGGGGAGTCAGAAGAGAACCACAAGTTTATGTCCTACACGAAATGTAAAAATTTGACATGCATAAATACTAAAAAGTGTTTCTTCCGCAAAATCAAATCCCCATGAACCAAGAGTTTTTTCCTCAAACCATTAAAATTTGAGATTTTACAGTTAATTTATATATTTTGATTTACCAGCATTTTTAATTTGAGTTAAAAAAAATACCTTACATGTATGAAGAAGAAATTTTAATTGCAAGAGATTTATAGAACCAGCACAGACACCTAAATTTTTATCAATCAGACAAAGCCAAATATTGAAAATTTCTATCCCCTCTATATAGAGTAGGTAGATTTTTTTATATTTGGCTTCAAACTGAGCATCTGATTAATATGATAAAAATTCAGGTGCCTGTGGAACCAGTCAATTTATAATCGATTTGATTTGAACATATTTTATTATGTAATAAATACATAAATGGTTTAGCAGTAGGCATAACTATAGTCTATATTTTATAACCCTCTCCATTTGTAATCACTGAGCTATCTGTTCTTTAACAAAAGAATGAAGATGAAGAAGCAGAAGAAAAACTGAAGGTTTGTTTGGAGATGAATCCCAAATTGTGGGACGTACATGCTACATATGGAGACTTCCTAATCAGAAAACAGAGGTTTAAAGAGGCAGCACATATGTTTAGAAAGGTAGAAAAATAAGTATCAAAAAAGGTACCTCTAATGTCATTAGACAATGCAGGAAATGATTAAAAATTTCACCTTCTCTGAAATTGGCAAAATTGTTTTTGAAATTTTCGATTTTTCGGTTACCATTTTCTATCTTTAGCACGAGAAATGAGAAATTGTTGAGGATTTTAAATGGACATTAACTACTGTAGATTCCTTATTTTTCGTAAGTACTTATTATCGCAAAATGGTAATGCTTCATGCGAAATGATGTGATAATTTTAAAAATTCCTCGCGTATAATTAGAAATTCACAGTATTATATTTACATTCAGTGTAATTTTCCTTATGAAATCCATTAGAAATCCACGACGTTCAAATTTCTATAACACACGCGAAACCTTGTCACTGCGCACTAGAATACACAGTCGGAACTATGTACATTTTCAATACTCTAGGAAAACCAAAATGTAAAATGTTTTATTCAAATTTAATGAAAAACTATAAACCTGAACAATGAACGTAAAAATTAACGTAATATGCGTTTAAAATTAATTTGTCACTTTTTTACTCGCAATGTTTGTTTGCGTTATCTAACTATGCAACGTCATTTAACGTCATTTGACGTCACAATCGGCTCTTACATCTATTAACCACGGCAGCTTTGAAAGGCAATAAATTCACATTTAAGATTAACGAAATAAGCAATTATGAAGAAGGAAAATAAGAGAATGTAAATATAAGCATTGAATTCATATTTTTGGATGTCTTCGGCCCTATAACACACCGCTAACGCGCGGTATTCAATTTGTCGGCACGGCCAGGTGTGTTATAGGGCCGAAGACATCCAAAAATATGAATTCAATGCTTAAATGTATCTTATTAATTAGATCAATTTACAGGGAACACAGGTAAAGCCAGACATGATTCCATTCTGGGCAAATCTGAGGAACGCCCTGCAACAAAGTGGTGACAACAAAGGGGTAAGGAAGACAAATCTGGTTATAGAAAGGCTTCAACGAGAACAGCAGGACAGACAGTGATAATAATAGTGCTAAATTATACCAGTCACTAGTTCAAAGTCACACAGTGAAAAATATAGTGCTAATTTATACAAGTCACAAGTTCAAAGTCCTTATGCCTGCATTGTGGAGCATATCATGAAATTGTTGTATTTATTTTTTTTTCTTGAGTTTTATTTTAAATTGTTGTTTTTGTGTTTTTGCTTGCATGTATGTGCAGAAAAAAAATCTGTCTCAATTTCTTGTGGTTAGAAAGGGAAAGAATTTTTAAGTGGATGGAAAGGGGAACTATGTATTACATTGTGATTTTATTTTTTCATTTCATTGGTGTATTTATAGGGAGATTATGTATCGTTATTTCATTCCAAGTTATATTTTTTTTTCAAATGACATGTAAATGTATATCATTGGCTATCTGCAGCTATTATAATTGGTGTGAAATGAATGAGAGGCAAATATTGTAATTTGTATAAAAATGTGACACAACTTAGCATAATATAGTTTTTTGTGTCAAGTTTCATTAATTCAGTTTTTTTCTTGTTCAAGTGGTTCACATTTAGATATATTTCTTTTTTAAAAAAAACACACATTTCCATCTCCAAATCATATTTACATTCAACATTTCATTGCATTAAAAAAATCTCTGTTTTCATATTTTTTTTACCAAAATTTGCAGACCTCTTGATCTAGCTTGCTTTATTCTGTTATCTGTATGTTATGCATATAACACAATAGAAAAAAATCCTTATTAAAATAACATACTTCAATTTGTTCAACACCGCTAAACTTTGTCATAACATTCCAATTTCTTCTTTCAGTGTGTTGGAGTTATCTCTCTTTGAATACTTGTGATCTCGTTTTGCCACGTTATATCTGTGATACTTTGTCCCTGATTGTTAATTAAAAGTGATCAAATAATTATAAATGTTATTTATTACTTACAAATAAAAATGGATTGACATTAAATGTGTTAGTTTTGTCATGTCCCAGACTGAGTGATTGGGAGTTAATAAGTAATTCTGAGTTTTGATTTTGAAGTTTCAAGGACTACCTTTGTTATACCTGGGGTCTAGCTGACTCAGTTCACATAGTGTCGTTTGTCCAACGGGATCATATTGATATGAACTCGAGTAACAAAAGAATGAAGATGAAGAAGCAGAAGAAAAACTGAAGGTTTGTTTGGAGATGCATGAATCCTAAATTGAGGGACGTACATGCTACATATGGAGACTTCCTTATGAGAAAACAGAGGTTTAAAGAGGCAGCACAAATGTATATATAAAGGTAGGGAAAATGATATCAAAATAGGTACCTCTAATGTCATTAGACAATGCAGGAAATGATTAAAAATTTCACCTTCTCTGAAACTGGCAAAATTGTTTTTGAAATTTTCGATTTCTCGGTTACCATTTTCTATCTTTAACACGAGAAAAGAGAAATTGTTGAGGATTTTAAATGGACATTAACTACTGGTACTTAGATTCTTTATTTTTTGCAAGTACTTATTATCGCAAAATGGCTGTTCAGCATCAAAGTGCGAGAATAATTTTTCACAAATGGAAGATTGATCAAAAGAATTTACATGGATTTCAGTGCCAAAAAAAAATAACAGAGTAATTTTATTTCTCGAGCGATGCTTCATGCGAAATGACGTGATACTTTTAAAAAATCCTTGCGTATAATTAGAAATTCACAGCATTATCTATCTTTTTAATTTGATCAATTTACAGGGAACACAGGTAAAGCCAGACATGATTCCATTCTGGGCAAATCTTAGGAACGCCCTGCAACAAAGCGGTGACAACAAAGGGGTAAGGAAGACAAATCTGGTTATAGAAAGGCTTCAACGAGAACAGCAGGACAGACAGTGATAATAATTATAGTGCTAATTTATACCAGTCACAAGTTCAAAGTCACACAGTGATAAATATAGTGCTAATTTATACAAGTCACAAGTTCAAAGTCCTTAATGCCTTCATAGTAGTTTTTTTTCTTAAGTTTTATTTTAAATTGTTGTTTTTTTTGTGTTTTTGCATGCATGTGTGTGCAGAAAAAAAAAATCTATCTCATTTCTTGTGGTTAGAAAGGGAAAGAATTTTAAAATAGATGGAAAGGGGAATTATGTAATACATCATGATTTTATTTTTTTTTTTTCATTTCATTAGTGTATTTATAGGGAGATTATGTATGGTTATTGCATTCCAATTCATTTTTTTTTTCAAATGACATGTGTATGTATGTTATTGGCTTTCTGCAGCTATTACATTTTATAATTGGTGTGAAATGAATGAGAGGCAAATATTGTAGATGTAAGTTGTATAAAAATGTGACACAGCTTAGCATAATATAATTTTTTATGTCAAGTTTCACTAATTCAGTTTTTTTCATGTTCAAATGGTTGTTCAAGTGTAGATATAATTTATTTTTATACCAATACACACATTTCCATCTCCAGATCATATTTACATTCAACATTTTATTGCATTAAAAAAAATTCTGTTTTCATATTTTTTTTTACCAAAATTTGCAGACCTCTTGATCCAGCTTACTTTATTCTGTTATCTGTATTTTATGCATATAACACAGTAGAAGAAAATCCTTACTAAACAAGATGTGTTTGTAAAACACTGATGCCCCCGTATGGCAACATAGCAAAGATTAAGCTTTTATTAAATGCAAATTTAATTAATTGGTACCAAAAGTAGGGTATTCTCACTGGAAAACAATTGTGAAATTTGAAAGTAAGCTAATGTTAAAGGTTTTTAATAAGTACAAAAAAATCTCCAAGGTCAAGGTCAAAAGGTCAATGTAATTAGTATCAAATGAAAGGTCTTGCCACATAAAATACTTATGTAGAGCATGAAAGCCCTAGCCCTAACCGTTCAGAAGTTATGGTTAACGTTTAATTTCTTAAAAAGTAGGTCAAACTCCAAGGTCAAGGTCAAAGCATCAAAGTTATTGTTATCAAATGAAAGGTCTTGTCATAAGGATCAAATATGTAAAGTATGAAAGGAACTAGCCCTAAGTCTTTAAAAGTTATGGTCAAGTTTGCTTTTTTAAAGTAGGTCAATCTCAGAGGTCAAGGTCAAAGGGTCAAGGATCTTTATATCCAATGAAGGGTTTTTTCACAAGGATTACATATATGAAGTATAAAAGCCCTATCTCTTACTGTTCAAAAGTTATGGCCAAGGTTAAAGTTTTTCACAAGTACGAAAATCTACAAGGTCAAGGTCAAAGGGTCAAGGTTGTTGGTATCCAGTGAAATGTTTTTTAACAAACATTACATATGTGAAGTATAAAGTCCTGGTGTCTACTGTTCAAAAGATATGGCCAAAGTAAAATTTAAAAATTTTCTTAAAAAGTAGGTCAAACTCCAAGGTCAAGGTCAAAGGGTCAAAGTTATTGTTATCAAATGAAAAGTCTTGTCATAAGAATCAAATATGTAAAGTATGAAAGCACTAGCCCTAACTCTTTAAAAGTTTTGGTCAAGGTTTGCTTTATTAAAGTAGGTCAAGCTCAAAGGTCAAGGTCAAAGGGTCAAGGTTCTTCATATCCAATGAAGAGTCTTCTCACAAGGATTACATATATGAAGTATGAAAGCCCTATCCCTTACCGTTCAAAAGTTATGGCCAAGGTTAAAGTTTTTTCACAAGTATGAAAATCTACAAGGTCAAGGTCAAAGTGTCAAGGTTGTTGGTATCTAGTAAAAGGTCTTTCATATGTGAAGTATAAATGTCCTGGTGTCTACTATTCAAAAGATATGGCCGAAGTAAAATTTTAAAATTTTCATGTAAAAGTGGGTCAAACTCCAAGGTCAAGGTCAAAAGGTCAAATTTGGTGGTACCCAAAGAAAGGTCTTGTCACAAGGAATACACATATGAAATATGAAAGTCATAGCTCCACTAAATCAAAAGTTATTGGCAAGGTTAAAGTTTTTGCGGACAAACAGACAAACAGACAGACAGACACGACAAAAACTATATACCCCCCGAAACTTCGTTTACGGGGGCATAAAAACATACTTCAATTTGTTCAACCAACGACTAAACTTTGTCATAACATTCCAATTTCTTCTTTCAGTGTGTTGGAGTTATCTCTCTTTGAATACTTGTGATCTCGTTTTTGCCTCGTTATATCTGTGATACTTTGTCCCTAATTGTTAATTAAAAGTGGTCAAATAATTATAAATGTTATTTATTATTACAAATAAAAATGGATTGACATGAAATGTTTTAGTTTTGTCATGTCTCGGACTGAGTGATTGGAAGTTAATTTACTTATTTGAGTTTTGATTTTGAAGTTTCAAGGACTACTCTTGTTATACCTGTGGTCATGACTCAGTTCACATAGTGTCGTTTGTCCAACAGGATCATATTGAAATTAACTCGAGGTCCTGACGTTGTGACTAGATATTTTAACTCATGGTTGACCAAGGTCATTTACTATTTGTATGTGCTTGACATATGTCAATGTTGACTTGGAGGTCAAATACTTCAAAAAAGTATCTTTGTGGGCAGTGTTTTGTGGGAAAAAAACAATAAATAATCAATAAATTTGTTCCATGTTTTTATGGGACTATTTCTTTATAGTAAAATTTGACGTCACGGGGCCTCGTGCATTTCAAATCTACTAAATTAGACGGTATTTCGATTTATTTTCAGATTGTTATTTCAAGTAAAAATGGAAATATAAGGAATCACTGTCTAGTTAGGACAGTATGCTAGGGACATCAACAATAGTTGGATACATGGGATAATTTGCATAACGGGCAAAGCCCTGGCATAGTCTCCTAACTGGACAGTGATTCCTTAAATACATGTCTATCTAAGATATTTAATTTTCTTAAGCTTTCCACTCCACTCAGCAACAAACAAGTTGTCTTTTTTGTCCCCACATAAACCAAATGCTCCCTTCAGATCACAGTTATCTATATAACGGAGGAACTGTCCGTCCTGGTCTAGGATGTGGATACAGTGGTTACCACAGTCTGCTGTCAAAATCTGACTCTGGCTGTCTGTTGTGATGCCATAAGGTATAAATGGTTTGTTCTTTGTAGGAGAAGGATGACCAGTGTATCTAAATCGGAGTTTTCCCGCTTGATTGACCACCACTATAGCACCAGCTACACAGTCAGCCACACAGATATCCAGGTTTCTGTTCTCACTAATGTACTTAATTTTGTCATTTCCTGAATACAGAGGTTTACCCTGCTCATGAAACTGGATTGTTTGTTTCTCTGTGGAGCCTGAGTAACGGACAACTTTGGATTGTGTTTTATTATCACTGAACATGGTAACCAGGAGATCACCAGAGGAGGTGACACAGATTTGTATAGGTACCCAGCCCTGTAGTCTGATCATCTCTCTCTGTCCATTCTTCACTTTATTCACAGTCCTTGTTTCCCAGTCAGAGTACACTAGATCCCCATCACCTGTCACTGCTATGTCAACTGGCCATTTCCCTGATTTTGTTTTGATTGTCTTTATGAGTGAGCTTTGAATGTTGAAGCATTTCATATCATCGACAGATCCACTTGTCCAAATTTCTTCTTCACTAAGACAGGCAACACTACGGAGGTTTCCATCCCCTGTATTTATAGTAGTTATAAGTACTGGTTCTTCAAGCAGTTCTCTGGTTGTTGTCTCTGGTTTCTTCAGTTTGTAACCATTTTCTTCTGTTTTCGTAGTTAATTCTGTTAAAGATCCAAACAATGTATAAAGATGTTCTGTATCTTTAGCCTTTGGACTGAACACAGGCAGTGATATCTTAACTTTGGGCAGAAGTTTGCTTAATTCTCCGATTTTAGAACTGTATTCCATAGTCATGGACACTTCATTTGATTCATCTATTCTATTTAACTGAAGGAAAGTTTGCTCAATTTGATTTATAATCCTTTTAATTTCATCTAAATGTTTCTTCAGAATGCTTAGATGTTTATTTTTTACTTCCTCAATTTCTGTTGTCAGTTTGTTGACAATGTTGTCAATTTCTTTGTGCCATTCTTCTCCATGTTTTGTTACAGCTGTTGAAAGGTTTCCATATTCTTCATCCAGATTAGCAATCTGAGCTTCTATATCAGTGGCAATTTCTTCATAGGTCGGAGATATTATGTTTTCTAACTCTTCGGTATCTTTCCTTATGACTTTTCTCTTTGAATTAAAGATATCCGAAAGAGTTGAAATGGTATGTCCCTTATGTGTATCAGTTATAATGCATAAAGAACACACAGATGTGTTGCATTCTTCACACTGAAGTTTACATCTTTCTGTTTCATGTGTTTTGCACTTGGGATAAATTAAGGTGGATTTTCTTTGATGAAATTTGACGATTTGATGCTTGCTATAGTCATCGGCAATATGTTCTCCAATACAGGGTTTACAGAGGTTGGCATGACAGATATCACAGTACATCTGTACTATAGCTGTCTCACAAAGGTCACATCTGATCACATCCTGGGCACTACTGCTGGGATCCATGTCCATATCTAAAATTTGAATGATATGCTATTGATTATGACTCTCAATACCTATATAAATATCTTTGGTCGAAAATGAAAGTAAATATTATATCTACTTTATATTTCATAACCTCACAAATCAAAATGCCCTGATTTATTAAAATTGGTACTTAAAACTTAAATTGCTTATGGTGATACCGAGTTTTATTTTTAAAAAGTTTAATTTCAACCTAAGGGTGTTTATTTAAGGATTACACCCATGTACCTTTCCACCCAGTATCTAAATAATCCATATGAACCTGCCTAGTTTATTTTATAGGAATGTAATGCATTGTAAATTATACAATAACTTAATTAAGTTATAAATCAATAATTTCAGACGTATATCAATACATTATAATAGGCAATACCAATTTATGTATGTCCAAATTAGAATCCAGAAAATAAAATAAGAAATGGCGGAAGCTTGCTATCACCTGACTGTAAGGTTAAAATATAGGGTGTCATAGATATAGTTATCTTTCTTGAGTAAAATCACTGATCCATACAAACTGTTTTTATGTTTTCAAAAATGTTTATAATTTCAATCGTATTTCATTTTCCATAATCTAAAATCTTTTTTACGTTTGCGTATCGATCCAATATTTTGGGAATTTAGACAAATATCTGTCATCTGCGATCTTTAAAATGTAATAGGGGCCTAATCAAGTAATAACTGGAAGATGGTGTTACAATTCATAGGGGAAATATTGGACCGTTTTGGAGTTTTGTTCGTAATTGAAATGAATGTCCCAAAATATAAACTTAATGGATTTTTAAAAAAAAATCAACGCATGAAAAGTAACTTCCGCATTTGATATTTTGTTTAACTTTTTTTTTGGTGATATGCAGAAATATTTTGACAAAACGTTGTCGATTGTGCGACCACAAATCATTCTTTTATATTGTTATATCATTATTTTTTACTCTCTGAGATATTTTGACCTTCCTAACCCCCCTCCCCAATGCACTTATTTTAGAAAAGGATGTTAAAACCCTTATACTGATGAGTTCCATTGACAATCTGTTTTAAAAAAGCCTTTATACATTTGTTAGGGAGATCTCCCTTATTATGTATACATGTATAGGGATATTTTTTGTACGGAACGGTTATCTGAAGTTTTAACTCATTTTTTCGCATTGTATATTTGAAAAGGAAGTGTAATATATACAAGATGTAAAAAAAAAATTGAAGGTAGGGGAGGTGGAGGGGATCCTGTCCACAAGTGCTGTGTCCAGAACTTGCACTTAGTTGTAGAAGTGAACACGCCAGTGGCAGATCTTGTACATTGTGTCGCTGAACTTTTCACTTTATACAGTATATATCAAACATGGACAGTTCAACCAAAATGTATCCTAGACTTTTCATATAAGTAAGAATAATGATATTTAATATACAAATTTACGCGTTTTCTCCAGTATAGAGTATAGAAAAGATGAAAAATCATGAGGATATAAGTCAGGTGTAGGATTTCTGTATTACGTGTTTTATCCCCCTTTGTATTTGTAGAGAGTACAGAAGTACTGATGAAGTTAGGACAGGCTTTTTCTGACACAGGGAGGGTTGATGAAGGAATGGAATTTACCCAGCAGGCCATAGACAAAGACCCCCACTTCCTTATAGCTCACCTGAAAAAAGCCAAGATGTACATTCAGGTTAGCTAAAAATCACAGCAAAATCCTTTGATAGAACATTTTGTTTATCTAAGCATTTATGAATGTGAAATTCTTTTTACGTTGAAAACAAATTGATCTGTATCCAAGGCATTTTGGGTTTGAAAATCTATCTTGAGTGCAAAATTAACCCAAGAATCTAATGCTATAATCAAATCTTTAGTGTTGACCTTTGCAATGACAGTTTTGCTGAGAATAGCTAGGGTATTTTTTATTTTAATTTTTTTTTGTTTTTGCTCCGAACGCTGAATCAAACTACAATGTACATGTATTGTAAATCTCATTCTTTACAAGAACTTTGTTTCATGTGCAGGTATAATCACACAAGACTATGACAATTAACTAATGAATTAAGTTTTGCTCTTGTTTATTGTGAAATCACACATTTTCGTGGGTGGTTTATTTCATTGTTTCCGAGGTATGAAGAGAACCACAAGTTTATGTCCTACACGAAATGTAAAAATTGACATGCATAAATTTATAATAAAACGTTTTCCATCCACAAAATTAAATCCCCATGAACCAGGAGTTTTTTCCTCAAACCACGAAAATTTGAGATTTTACAGTTAATTTATAAAATTTGATTTACCAGTATTTTTAATTCGAGTTAAAAAAAAATACCTTACATGTATGCAGAAGAAATTTTAATTGCAAGAGATTAGAACCAGCATAGACACATAAATTTTTATCAATCAGACACTCAGTAAGCCAAATATTGAAAAATTCTGTCCCCTCTATATAGAGGAGGTAGAATTTTTTATATTTGGCTTCAAATTGAGCATCTTATTGATTTGATAAAAATTCAGGTGCCTGTAGAACCAGTCAATTTATAATCGATTTGATTTGAACATATTATATTATGTAATAAATACATAAATTGTTTAGCAGTAGGCATAACTATAGTCTATATTTTATAACCCTCTCAGTTTGTAATCACTAAGCTATCTGTTCTTCAACAGAAGAATGAAGATAAAAAAGCAGATGAAAAACTGAAGGTTTGTTTGGAGATGAATCCCAAATTGTGGGACGTACATGCTATAAATGGAGACTTCCTTATGAGATAACAGAGGTTTAAAGAGGCAGCACAAATGTTTAGAAAGGTAGGGAAAATAAGTATCAAAAAGGGTACCTTTAATGTCATTAGACAATGCAGGAAATGATTAAAAATTTCATCTTCTCTGAAATTGGCAAAATTGTTTTTGAAATTTTTGATTTCTCGATTACCATTTTCTATCTTTTACACGAGAAAAGAGAAATTGTTGAGGATTTTAAATGGACATTATCTACTTAGATTCCTTATTTTTCGCAAGTACTTATTATCGCAAAATGGCTATTCAACATCAAAGTGCGAGAATAAATTTTTCACAAATGGAAGATTGATCAAAAGAATTAACATGGATTTCAGTGCCAAAAAAAAATAACATAGAGTAATTTTATTTCGCAAGCGATGCTTCATGCAAAATGATGGGATAATTTTAAAAATTCCTTGTGTATAATTAGAAATTCACAGTATTATGTATCTTATTAATTTGATCAATTTACAGGGAACACAGGTAAAGCCAGACATGATTCCATTCTGGGCAAATCTGAGAAACGCCCTGCAACAAAGCGGTGACAACAAAGGGGTAAGGGAGACAAATCTGGTTATAGAAAGGCTTCAACGTGAACAGCAGGACAGACAGTGATAAATAATAGTGCTAATTTATACCAGTCACAAGTTCAAAGTCACACAGTGATAATAGTGCTAATTTATACAAGTCACAAGTTCAAAGTCCTTATGTCTTCTTTGTGAAGCATATCATGAAATTGTTGTATGTAATTTTATTTTTTTCTTAAGTTTTATTTTAAATTGTTGTTTTTTGTGTTTTTGCATACATGTGTGTGCAGAAAAAAAAGTCTGTTCTCGTGTGATGCAAAATGCCGATTTTTTAAGAGAACTCGGGCATGCGAATTACATTTGACAACGTGTCATAATACAAAGAGCTTGTTGTTTTTTGTGTTTTTGCATGCATGTGTGTGCAGAAAAAAAGTCTGTCTCATTTTTTGTGGTTAGAAAGGGAAATAATTTTAAAGTGGATGGAAAGGGGAATTACTGTAAACCAACTTTTGTTAGCGACGACTTTATTTTGCGATTTACCAGGGATAAATTAACTAGTTTGCAACAATTAATTTTCACAATAAAGCCTATTTAGGTTTCTTTTTAATAGACACATAGACTTTAAGAACCGGTTCACAGTGAGAAATATTCGCGACGATGAGACTCTTGCGAACTTTGCTGAACAATTCTCGCACGCAAACAAAAGTTGGTTTACAGTATGTATTACAACATGATTTTATTTTTTCATTTCATTAGTGTATTTATGGGGAGATTGTGTATGGTTATTGCATTCCAATTTATATTTTTTTTTCAAATGACATGTAAATGTTTATCATTGGCTTTCTGTAGCTATTACATTTTATAATGGTGTGAAAGGAATGAGAGGCAAACATTGTAAGTTGTATAAAAATGTGACACAGGTTAGCATAATATATTTTTTATGTCAAGTTTCATTCATTAAGTTTTTTTCTTGTTCAAATGGTTCACATGTAGATATAATTTATTTTATACAAATACAAGTACACATATTTCCATCTCCAAATCATATTTACATTTAGCATTTCATTGCATTTAAAAAATCTCAGTTTTCATAATTTTTTTACCAAAATTTGCAGACCTCTTGATCCAGCTTACTTAATACTTTTATCTGTATTTTATTCATATAACACAGTAGAAAAAAAAACCTTATAAAAAAAAAACTTACTTCCATTTGTTCAACAAGCTTTTAAACTGTAACATTCCAATTTCTCCTTTTAGTGTATTGGAGTTATCTCTCTTTGAATACTTGTGATCTCGTTTTTGCCATGTTATATCTGTGATACTTTGTCCCTGATTGTTAATTAAAAGTGATCAAATAATTATAAATGTTATTTGTTACTTACAAATAAAATTGGATTGACATGGAATGTTTAAGTTTTGTCATGTCAAAGACTGAGTGATTGGGAGTTAATAAGTATAATTTTGTGTTTTGATACAATTAATATTGATTTTGAGGTTTCAAGCAGTGGCGGATCCAGAAATTTTGAAAGGGGGGGGGGGCGACCAGTTTGAGGTCAGGGTAGGGGGCCCACAACCACACCCAAAAACATTGATTTATTAAATATTGTGTATTTTTTCGGACACAAAAGGGAGGGGGCAGGCCCCCTGGGCCCCCATTTAAATCCGCCAGTGTCAGGGACTATACCCTTGTTATACCTGGGACCCTGACTCAGTTCACATAGTGTCGTTTGTCCAACAGGATCATTGTAAGGGTTCCTAAACATTTTAACTCAAGGTTGACCAAGGTCATTTGCTACATGTATGTGCATGACATATGTCAAATTGAATGTTGACTTGGAGGTCAAATACTTCAAAAAGTATCTTTGTGGGCAATGTTTTTTTTGGGGGAAAAATACTATATAATCAGTAAATTTGTTCCGTGTTTTTATGGGACTATTTTTTTAATAGTAAAATTTGATGTCATGGGGCCTTGTGCATTTCAAATCTACTAAAATAGACGGTATTTTGATTTATTTTCAGATTGTTACCGGTATTTCAAGTAAAAATGGAAATATAAGGAATCACTGTCTAGTTAGGAGAGTATGCTAGGGAAATCAACAATAGTGGGAAACATGGGATAATTTTAGCATAAAGGGCTTCGTTAGTTATGCAAATTATTCCATGTTTCCTACTATAGACTATGCCCTGGCATAGTCTCCTAACTAGACAGTGATTCCTTAAATACATGTCTATCTAAGATATTTAATTTTCTTAAGCTTTCCTCTCCACTCAGCAACAAACAAACAGTTATTTTTGTCCACACATAAACCATATGGTATCTTCAGATCACAGTTATCTATATAACGGAGGAACTGTCCATCCTGGTCTAGGATGTGGATACAATGGTTATGGTAGTCTGCTGTTAGGATCTGACTCTGGCTGTCTGTTGTGATGCCCCAGGGTTTAAATGGTTCATTCTTTGTAGCAGAAGGATGACCAGTGTATCTAAATCGGAGGTTTCTGTTCTCACTGATGTATTTAATTTTGCTATTTCCTGAATACAGAGGTTTACCCTCCTCATCAAACTGTATTGTTTGTTTCTCTTTGGGGCCCGAGTAACGGACAACTTTAGATTGTGTTTTATCATCACTGTACATGGTAACCAGGAGATCACCAGAGGAGGTGACACAGAGATTAAGAGGTGTCCAGTCCTGTAGTCTGATCATCTCCTCTGTCTGTCCATTCTTCACTTTATTCACAGTCTTTGTTTCCCATTCAGAGTACACTAGATCCCCATTACCTGTCACTGCTATATCATTTGGACTTTTCCCTGTTTTTGTTTTGATTGTCTTTATAAGTGAGCTTTGAATGTTGAAGCATTTCATATCATCGACAAATCCACTTGTCCAAATTTCTTCTTCACTACGACAGGCAACACTACGGAGTTTTTCATACCCAGAAATTATTGTTGTTATAAGTTCTGGTTCCAGCAGTTCTCTGGATGATATCTCTGCTTTCTTCAGTTTGTAACCATTTTCTTCTGTTTTGGTTGATAATTGTGATAAAGATCCAAACAATGTATAAAGATGTTCTGTATCTTTAGCCTTTCGACTGAACACAGGCAGTGATATCTTCACTTTAGGCGGAAGTTTGCTTAATGCTTCGCTTTTAGAACTGTATTCCATTGTCAAAGGCACTTCATTTGATTCATCTATTCTTTTTAACTGAAGCAAAGTTTGCTCAATTTGATTTATAATCTGTTTAATTTCATCAAAATGTTTCTTCAGAATGCTTAGATGTTTATTTTTTACTTCCTCAATTTCTGTTGTCAGTTTGTTGACAATGATGTCAATTTCTTTGTGCCATTCTTCTCCATGTTTTGTTACAGCTGTTGAAAGTTTTCCATATTCTCCATCCAGATTAGCAATCTGAGTTTCTATATCAATGGCAATTTCTTCATAGGTGGGAGAAATTATTTGTTCTTACTCTTCAGTATCTTACCCAATGATTTCTCTCTTTGAATTAAAGATATCCAAAAGAGTTGAAATGGTATGTCCCTTATGTGCATCAGTTATAATGCATAAAGAACACACAGATGTGTTGCATTCTTTACAGTGAAATTCACATCTTTTTGTTTCATGTGTTTTGCACTGTGGATAAATTAAGGTGGATTTCCTTTGCTGAAATGGAACAATTTGATGTTTGTTATAGTCATCAGCAATGTGTTCTCCGATACAGGGTTTACAAAGGTTGACATGACAGAAATCACAGTACATCTGTACTAAAGATGTCTCACAAAGGTCACATCTGATCACATCCTGGGCACTGCTGCTGGGATCCATGTCCAAATCTAAAATTTGAATGATATGACATTGATTATGGCTCTCAATGCCTATATAAATATCTTTGGTCGAAAACAAAAGTAAATATTATATCAGCTACTCTATATTTCATAATCTCACAAATCAAAATGTCCTGATTTATTAAAATTGTTACCTTAAAACTTAAATTGCTTATGGTGATACCGATTTTTATTTAAAGTTTAATTTCAAACTAAGGGTATTAAAGGATTACACCCGTAGTACCTTTTCACCCAGTTTCTAAATAATAAAATATGAACCTCCCTAGTTTATTTTATAGGAATGTTATGCATTGTAAATTATACAATAACTTAATTAAGTTATAAATCAATAATTTCAGACGTATAACAATACATTACAATAGGCAATACCAATTTATGTATGTCCAAATAAGAATCCAGAAAATAAGAAATGGTGGAAGCTTGCTATCACCTGACTGGAAGGTTAAGATAAAGGATGCCATAGTCTCGTTCAACCAGACGCTCGGCTGTCTCCGTAAACTCCGACAAGCATAGAGTCTGGTCGGAGATTTACGGAAACAGCCGAGGGTCTGGTTGAACGAGACTAAGGATGCCATAGATATAGTTGTCTTTCTTGAGTAATATTATGATCCATACAAATTATGTTTTCGTGTTTTTTTTTCTGCAATAGCTGCGAATGTTCATTCCAGTAACAACAAACAAAGGAAGACATTTTATTGTTTATATTTATATCTGTTTAAATTATCATTTTAAGTAGGATTAAAAATATTAATTATTGTGTTAATGATGAGAACGTCTGTGTACGTTTCATTGATGGAACGGCCACTGATCAAGAAATCTGTACAGTTGATATGCCTAGTGTAGTTTATGCAGGGATGGACGCAATGGGTTTTCTTAAAAAGTAAAGAAGAAAATATTCAGTGGATGTAAATATATCATTAATGTTTGCTCTCTGAGATATTTTGACCTTCCTCATCCCTCCCCCTCCCCAATGCACTTATTTTAGAAAAGGATGTTAAAACCCTTTTACTGATGAGTACCATTGACAATCTGTTAAAAAAAGCCTTTAGGCCTATACATTTATTAAGGAGATATCCCTTATCATGTTTATAGGGGTATTTTTTGTACAGAACGGCTACCTGACGTTTTAACTCATTTTTTGCATTGTATATTTGAAAAGGACATGTTATAAATACAAAATGTAAAAAAAAAATTAAGGTAGGGGTCATATTTTAGGGAGGGGAGTTCCTGTCCACAAGTACCTGTGTCCAGAACTTGCATTTACTTGTAGAAGTGAACACGCCAGTTGCAAATCTTGTACATTGTGTCGCTGAACTTTTCACTGTATACAGTAACTATCAAACATGGACAGCTCAACCAAATGTATCCTAGACTTTTCATATAAGTAAGAATAACTATATTTAATATACAAGTTTACGCGTTTGCTCCAGTATAGAGTATAGAAAATATGAAAGGTCATGAGGATGAAAACATCAATGTATTATTATATAAATCTGTACTTAGAAAAACAGGTAACATTTAATCAAAGTCCGTAAGCATATCTAATGTTAATTTTAAATTTCTGTTGAAGTTACTCTTATTATTTCTTAAGAGTTGAAAGATTGATTTCATTTCTTTCTTGAAGTCACTCAAGAGTGCTGAATTTGTAATATTTTTATTTTCAAACTTAATGCTGTTTCTTGTTTTCCATATTGACCACTTGTATATATAAATCAAGATGTTAATACATATTCGAACATTTTTAAAAGTCAGGTGTAGGATTTCTGTGTTACGTGTTTTATGCCCTTTGTATTTGTATCTAGAGTACAGAAATACTGATGAAGTTAGGACAGGCTTTTTATGACACAGGGAGGGTTGATGAAGGAATGATATTTACCCAGCAGCTAGGCCATAGACAAAGACCCCCACTTCCTTATAACTCACCTGAACAAAGGCAAGATGTACATTCAGGTTAGCTAAAAAGCACATCAAAATCCTTTGATAGAACATTTTGTGTATCTAAGCATTTATGAATGTGAAATTCGTTTTACGTTGAAAACAAATCTATCTGTATCCAAGGCATTTTGGGTTTGAAAATCTATCTAGAGTGCAAAATCAACCCAAGAATCTAATGCTATAATCAAATCTTTAGTGTTGACCTCTGCAATGACAGTTTTGCTGAGAATATGTAAGGTATTTTTTATTTTAAAATTTTATTTGTTTTTGCTCTGAAAGCTGAATCAAACTACATGTATTGTAAATCTCATTCTTTACAAGAACTTTGTTTCATGTGCAGGTATAATCACACTTATGTTCTAAATTCACCAGTTCAAACGAACATAAATTATTTATCAATAAAACTCAAAAACACTTTATATAGGATGAGCTGGCATGCGCGAGTGCAACAGACTTTAATGAAGTGTATACAGTATACAAAATACAGTCTTTAGTTTATCTTCTGAAATCCAAATCATTCTACAAAAGAAAAAGAAACTAATAAAGCGACAGTCAACATTAAAACGAACATTTAAGCATGTTCAGTATATCGATCATACTAGAAGGGGTGGGTGGGGCGGGGGATAAGTTTGTTGCAATGTAGCAGCGAACTTCGAATAACTTAAAACACCCGAAAATCTACCTTATACGTGACTGAATCATGCGTAGCACGGATTCAACCTATTCACCCGTAAACAAATAAACAACCAATCGATCTCCTTTATCGATGGACTTAATCTGCATACAAAACAAACACAGGTGTTTTACCATAACTTTTATAAATATATTTATGTTCTAAATTCACCAGTTCAAACGAACATAAATTATTTATAAATAAAACTCAAAAACACTTTATATAGGATGAGGTCGCATGCGCGAGTGCAACAGACTTCGACGATAAAGAAAGCATTGACATAAAATTATCAAAACGTATATGACCCCACCCCTAGATATCAAGACTTCAAGGTAATCCAATTATTACTTATTTCAAACCAGGCCTAATATAATTGAAAATTATAAAAATGTCGCAGAATTCTCAAACTGATGCGTATTTATCCACATTGATTATTCTTCAAACCTCATAAAGAAAAGTTAATATTATAAAGGAGAATAAAAATATAACTTTTCAGTAATGCAAATGAATTCACCTATTACATGCATTTTCAAAACGAAATTTTTTTCAACAAATATATCTATGGTAAAAATTATAGGTTTCCAAGCAATTGAAGAAAACTGCACAGATTTTTATACTGAGTTATGTGGTACTTTAATTTCTTCTATGTATACTGTTCAATTATTATTATACATAAATACTGTAGTTTATAAAGCGTTTGCTATGAATGCAAAACTCCATAAATCACTTATAAATTTATATCAAACTTTTAAAAAATTGGTATTTAAGGCTAGATCAAGGACATTTGTATAAAAATGTTCAAAGAACTTTTAATTATATTAAGATTCATAAACACTCAGTCTGCTCACTGGTATAAAATGTTGCTTGAACCTAATGATTTTCCAAAAAAGAATGTATTTATAAGTACAATACATTCAATTAAACAAAAAAGACACTTCTACTTGCAAATCTATAAAGAAATATGAGACATTTATGTCATTCAGAGTTATTTTTCTTATCAGAGTATTAAAGATGCATGAAATTCAATTTGTTGTATAAAAAGATTTCAATTTTAAGCTTCCTTGGAGACTTTCATGACTTTTTGAATAAATCATTAAATTAAAGGGTTATCCTTCCCGGCTGAAAAGTTTTCTTTTCCTTTTTACCATGAATTCTTCAGAAGAACTCAAAAAGTTTTCTACGTTGATTTTTATCAGTAAATCATAAATATCAGCATTTGCAGTTCAGATAGCAACTCCGTTAAAACACTATGAATGTAAAAATACTTCTATAAACTTAAAAGTTGGAGTGTTTACAGAATTCTGTTTCTTGTACAAGATTATGACTTCCAGATACTTAAGAATAACTTTTACAAAACAAAATAAATTTAAATCAATCATAAATTATACTCATCTGATCAAACATTATAATCAACCTTTTCTAAACATCTCTTGGTTATTAGCAATAGGACAAATGAACTGAACCACACCTACCAGAATGTAAACATTATCCTCGTTGATTTTGACTAAAGGTGATTTGTCCGAACCTTGATTTTAAACGCAGCTTTGGAAGTCTTCAGACAAATCCTTCAATGAAAGTTTTTCAAAACATCTGGTCCGTGTGTCCTGACTAAAGATACCTGAAAAAACTTTTGCTCCAAAAATTTCAAAATCAGATTGTGATGTCAAATTGCTTTATATTATTCCTAAATTATTTTCTAAATGCTTAGAATCCAATCCAGCAGAGCCTGTGATTATAAGAGGCACAGTAACAATTTGGCCTCCTTTACAGAATAAACAAGACAATGCTACATTATTAGTTAGGTTATTAAAATATAAATACGCAAGCACAGTAGTTTCGCTTTGTCAATTGAAATTTCAAATATATCTGCAAATACATCTCAAACAAGTTGAACTTTTGCATATCTTTTGAAGTTTATGTACTTGTATTTATCGATAAAACGAGTTTCCTGCTTCAATGAGAGTATAATTTTACACATATTCAAAAGACAAGAAAGCAACTATATCTAAAGTCATGCCAACTTCGAAAATACTTAAAAATCCAACAAACAGAATTGTCTGTATAACCATACACCTGGGAATTTTCCAGCTTCATCAAGATACTTACAGGTCTTTTGAAGGTCTGTGGCTAAATATACTAGTCAATACTACATTCAAAAAAATGTAAACCTTTTCGAAAATTTTAAAAATTTCAAAAATAATTTTTTGATAAATGTACATGATGAAACATTCAACCATTCCTGCTTCATCTAAGCTACTTAAAGCATTTGAAAGTGTCTTGCCTGCATCATACTCATCTCCAGCCATGCGAGATTCTTCAAGCTACTTACTGAATTTTAAGTGGTTTGTTTGTATGAAACCCTCTCAAACATGCCACTTTCTTCAAGTTACTAACTGAATTTTATATGGTCTTGTCTTTGTAAAACTACATCTCAAACCATGCCAGCTTCTTCCAGCTACTTACTGAATTCTATATGGTCTTGTCGGTATCCAACTACATCGCAAACCATGCAAGACTATTAAAGCTACTTACAAAACTTGAAAATGGCCTTGCCTGCATCATACTTCATCTCAAACCATGCCAGATCCTTCAAGCTACTTACTGAATTTTAAGTGGTTTTGTCTGTATCCACAGTGTCTAACCCACATACTAAACAAACCGGAAGTTCTTGCGTATCGAAGCGTGTAAACAAGCCTAGAGAAGAGCAAGTACCCGTTAAAATGCATTTTGAGCATCATTATTGACAAACAAACATGCTGAATTGATGTAATTATCATTCGGCATATCCCGCTGAATAAGTGTCAATTGTTTGTATTAAAATTGAATGAATACGTAGGTTGAAATTTTAAAAACGC